ACTAACACGAGTCTCTATAAGTGTCCAGTTTTAGGGTCTTACACAGAATCATACCAAACAACATGAATCAAACATGCACTTTATTTATTTACACTAAATAACAAAAGTACATCAAATCGGATTGAAGCTAAGGGCATACAAAACTGTCTAACAGCATGTGTTGTTATTTGTCTTGTTTCTACTTATTAGATTTTAATGGAATGTAAAAAATGCATTTTTGCATGGTGATTTGAATGAGGAAGTGAGCATGGAGCAACCATATGGAGGTTCTTCATAGTGCATTTATTCAAAGTTTGAGTCTAAAAGTCTACATTATTAGAAAGTGCTTTGACACTAATTAAGTATGGGAAATGCAGCCTCAATGGTGAATCAAATATCTTGTGGTAACGAACAGGATAACTTGTCAGTCCAGGAGCTCACCTCAGATACAACCATTGAGGTTGGATTACTACTTCATTTTAGTTAGAATGTGGTATATGATTCAATGGATGAATTTATTACTCTCCATCTTGCTTATGAATTGACACATGGCATTCAGGTTTCAATTGATATCCCATTTCCATTTCGATCAATTCCGGTGAATGTGATTGAATCAGCTGGAACTCAAGTCATTGAACAAATACTAAGGATAATGCTTCCCAGATTTATGAGACAGGTTAGTAAAACATTTATTGAAGTTTCTTGTGCATTTACTTACCTATTTTAAAAGAATAATTTCTAATTATAGGGGTAAATAATATGCACTCCTTAAAATAACAAAGGTTCCTAATATGAGAAGTGGGATCACAAGGAACAAAAAAAATCTGTTCTGTCAATATAGGGACTTTGAATATATTCTTGCAACTCCTGAATTTCTTGATGATTTTGAGAGTCGCTGCAATTCAATGTTTACTTTTACTTTGCTTTTGTCTTTTGAATTTTGACTAGATTGTAAAATTGTGACAGATTCCATGGATGGTCTGTGGTGCTCCTCTTCCTTCCCTTCCTCATCCTTGCTGTTTTTTTTCCTCTGTTTTTTAATCTTACTAATATTTTTGTTATAAGAATTTCACTTATCAGCAACAAGGATGTGAACTTTAAGTTATATCAAGGTGCACTAGTCATAGACTGATTGAGCTTTCTTATTGTTCTAAGCATTCCGTTAATATTCCTATATCATGTTATCGCATTGGCATGTTTTGTTATAATATTTTCCACAATTTTCTATTTATATATTTGTCTTGACGAAGTAAAAACATAGTCAGTAAGAAAGGGGCGGGTTTTGATAGTGAGTTAGGAAAGGAATAGGGAAGAGATCACCATAAAGATACAATAGAATGAATTGAACTGTTGAGAGCGTAGATTCTTTGGCTCTCGAACCTCTCTTCTCTTCTCTCCTCTTCTCTTCTTTATTTGTTCTGATTTCTGGGTTGAGCTCAAGAATGATTTGTGTTGGCTTAAACAAAGTCCTCATGCATGGTTTGATAGATTTCAAAGTGTGTTGTTAAACATTGGATATGGTGGATCTAGTGATAGTGAATCCGGATGGAGAACTTAGAGGTCGACTCAGATTACTGGATCACAGCTTGGTTGATCACTTCATAAATTCTGACCCAGATGTGGAGAAGATTGAAGAGTGGGCTGATGCTGAATGGCGACCTGAGAAACCTTTTTGGGTGAGAAGACTGAATGCCAGCTTCTTTTTGTTCACTTTCAAAAGTGAGGAGGCAAAATAAGTTTTGAGAGCCCTGACCTTAGAAATTGGAAGATGGGATCCTTTAGTTGGAGCAATTAGGGATATGGGTCCTTTAAACATGGTGTAGATTACTGTGTTTGGGATTCCCCTGCACGTGTGGAGTTCCAAACCTTTAAGGCCGTGGGACACGCTTGTGGAAGATTCAGATTTGTTGATTCTAGAACAATTTCTTGGAGAAACCTGATTGCTGCTCATATTTTAATCGAAGTTGAAGAGATTCACTTTGTTCCTACTTCTCCACCTCCTCGATTTGCTGGTGAAATTTTCGACTTAAGACTGGTCCTAGAAGGGTCATAGCCAGCAAGATGGATTGAGAATATGGAGATGTGGAGTGAGGAGGCTAAGAAGGTCTGGTTGTGTTCTGACAAGTTTGGGGGGAAGACGCACAGTCAGGTCGAGTCGAAGGGGGAAGGGTGTGAAGTTGAAGATGAGGATATTTTCAGAAGGAAAAATATTATTGGCGTGGTTGGGGACTGTTCATTGGGCCACATAAAGAATAATGATAAACTTAAGTGGGGATGTTACGATGACGGAGTTTCTCTTATTAAAAGCTAGCAGTGTTAGGGGGGAGGCTAATTCGGTGGGACATGTGGAAGAAGAAAAAGAAGGGGAGAGTTAGGGAGTTGAAAGAGAAAGAGGGATCCAGACTTTCAGAAGAACAAGAGGCGTCTCGGGCTGGAAAAGGCGATGAAGGTCTGAAAGTGGACCGAGTTTTGAAATCCAAGCTCATCAATAATGCTGGAGAGATTTCAAAGAAACCTCATTTCAAGTTGAGGGTCTCGAACAAGAGAAAGTTCAAGCAGAGTCTAAGAACTGGGCATGCATTTCAGTCTGGAAATCTTGGGAGGTGGATTGTTCATGCAGATCTTGAGGAGATTGATCAATGCAGAAGTCACGATGAAAGTTTTGATCTAAGGAAACAATGCCGTGGAGGGAAGAAGGAGAAGACAAGTTTGTCCAGTAAACAGGTAAGTTTATTTCTTTTGGTGATTTCTGAGTCAAGCTCTCTTCCATTTCATTACAGCCATGGAGTTTGGAGATGGGGCTGGTCCCTCCAATTAATATATAAAAGAGTCTACAAGAGGAAGAGATTAAAAGTTTTAGAACTGAAGAAGAAGGGTGATGAAAGGAGGGGGGAGGAGCATCAAGATGTAGTAAGGGAGATAATGTCGATCCCGAAAAAGGAAGGTCTAGAGGTTAGGCCAGAGTCAGGGGATAAGGAGGAGGAGGGAAGTCAAGCTGGGGAGAGTTGTCTCGTTTTGTCTCAACAAGCTGATAAAAAGGAGGGGGATAAAGTGAAGATTAAGAGCTTGGTGGAAAGGGAGGTAAGAATTGGCAAGAGTTAAGGCTATTCTTTTGGGAAGGTGAAGAGTTCGGTAGAAGAGCTTTCAAAGCATTTGAAGAGAGTAAAAGGGAAGAGAGAGTGAAGAAGAATTTGCGACAGAAAGAAGAAAAAAGTTTGGGATGAGGACGAAGGCAGATACGACGAGGCATTTGAAGCTGAAGACTAGCATATTTTTGAAGTGCAGTGTTCTCTGTTTTTCTTTTTGTTAGTTTTGTGTCTTTATAATCCTTCTGTTGGGGTAATTGGGTTGGGTGTTATCTTGACACCCCTGTTCGGGTTGTAACCTGTTTTTTATTTTATCAATCAATTTTTATTTTTACTTTGCCAAAAAAAAAAGTGAGTTAGGGATCCAACTGTCCGTTACTTTTCCAACTAAACTAACTGACACTTTTAACTGCTGATAAAAGTAAAATAGTACAATACTATAGATGAAATGGTCATTGGCTACTTCCATGTGTAGAGTTGTAGCCTGTAGGCCCATGGATCCTTCAATTCATTTGGAGAGAAGCAATGACATTGTTTTGCAACATGGGCTCCTTGTTTAGATAAACACTTAGATCAGAAAATAACATTACTGATGTTCTTCTAAGGAATGGGGTAACAAGGAAATGTTTGGCTTAGAGACCGCCAAGCCTGGGATGTTGTACTAGTTCCTTTATCCAACTATGGAGTAAAAGGATTTTCCACATCCTAATAAAATTTGTTTGTTTTGTTTTTTGATCAGTAAAATGCTTTTTTTAGAAGTACAAGAAAATTTTATTAAAGAAGAAAGAGACAGATTACAAACAATGCAATGTATTAGGATAACACCCAACCCAACAACAATGGGACAATGAAAACATCAGGAACACCTGATACAAAGAAAATTGATGCAGCCTTGGAATCAGACAAACTATGGCACAAAGTTGTGGTCAGCATTCATGGGCTCTCAGAGAATGGTTGGGATGCTGGAATCTCTCACAGGGTTTCTGGTGCTTCTTTGTGGAAGGCTATCCAGAAGGTTCTTCCACTCTTTCTTAATCACATCAAGTTTGACCTCAATTCAGGTAATAAAATCAAATTTTGTGAGGATCTTTGGGTGGGTGAAGCTCCTTTAAAGGAGTTGTTTCCCTCTTTGTTTGCCTTTTCATTCTTGAGGGGAAGACCTATTTCTGACTTTTTGTTTCCGTCTCCCTCCCTCTCTGGTCTGGGTTGAAACTTGGGTTTTCATAGAAATGTGAGGGACTCAGAGATGGGCCTTGTTTCAGAACTATTGAAAATGGTGGATGGTGTTTTTCTTGATCCTTTTGGGGTTTTACCTGTGCATCCTTTTTTTAAAGCTTTCTTTCCTAGCCAAAAGTTTGGTGCCGCCCGATCCCCCCTAAGGTGAATACTTTTTTGTTGGGAGGCCTTCCTTGGTGTTATCAACACATATGGCTTATTATAGAGGAAGAGACCTGGCTGGTGCCTTTTCCCTAATTGGTGTTTTCTGTGTGAATCAAATGGTGAAACTGTTCATCATCTACTTATCTCCTGTCCCTTTGCTTGCTATGTTTGGGATTGTTTTTTTCTCTGTTTGGTGCAAGTGGAATGCCCCAAATAGTTTGGACATGTTATTTGATCTCTCTACTTTTAGTTGGCTGAAAAGAAGGGGAAGATTATTGTGGAGATGCATGAGGGCAGCAGCGGTTTGGACAATATGGGAAGAAAGAAATTTAAGAATTTTCGAGTAGAAGAAAAGAAGTAAAGAAACATTGATTGAAGGTATAATGATAAAGGTGGCACACTGGGTGAAGTCAACACATTTGTTCTCAGACTTCTGAAGATGTTATCAGACATTGGGGAGCAATTACAGCTTCATCAAAGAAGAAAACTGTGAAAATTTGGGTACTTCCTATGACTGATTTCCTTAAAATGAATTTTGATGGTAGCAGCTTTGACAACCCGGGTCCTTCTGGAATGGGAGGGGTGATAGATAAGGAATGAAGATGGAGAAATGGTGCTGCTGTTTTCAGGACCACTAGGGGAAGGGGATTCCACAACAGCCGAGCTGAAGGCTGTGGTGTTTGGGGTACAGGAAGCTTGGGAAATAGGGGTGTTAGGAAGCTGATAATAGATGGTGATTCGAAGGTGATCATAAGATGGTTGAAACAAAATGATAAGGCTGCTTGGTATTTCAGAAATAAGGTCAAAAAATTCAAAAGATTATCAAGGGATATGCAAGTAGTAAACTAGTAATGGGTTCCAAAGGCAGCAAACAGTATAACGGATCAGTTAGAAAAGCGAGGGGTTAATAAAGGACATTGTTTTTGGGGTCAATTGTAATGTTAAGATAGTTTTACTTGTTGTAAGCTATGCTGGGGTTGCCAAGGACAATAGTAATTTCCTTGAAGAATAGAGATTCAACTTCATTGGGTGAAGAGAACTGCTAATTCCTTTACAGATGGTCTGGCTAAACAACGGGTGGGAAGGGAACAATTATTTTGGGCGGTGTTGTAATTTTTTTTTCTGTTTTACTCTAAGGGAGGGTTAAGAGATTTTCTCTGCCCTTTGCCTCCTTTGCAAGTTCTTGTTTCTTTATTTAATAAAAAGTTTCTGTTATTAACAAAAAAAAATGCTGTGGTGGTAGCTGAGGCTACCCAAGAGATGTAACTTTCTTTCTTTCTTTAATAACTTTTTTTTACTGTTGTTGATCAAAGAAATAAAAATTAATGCAGCCTTCTCAGATGAAGAGCACCTCAATCATCTCCTTCGAGTACTTCTTGCCCATTGCCTTCCTCATTCCATGCTTCTCCTCCTTCCCCAACTATAGATTTCTTCATCTCTCTTCCCTTTTGCACCTTTCAAATATTTCAAAGGCCCTTCTGGCAAACTTCTCTCCAGCCCAAACAAACAGGCCTAAGCTCTTGCCAACTTTAACACTCCTGTCCACTAAGTTCTCTATCCTCACCCCCCCCCCCCCTTCTCACTAACTACCGAGAGTTTTCTTCTTTATTAATGTATGGAAAGAATGATGGTAATGTATGATGAAGTATGCCAAGCATCCCAACAGTTTTTACACCAGCATTGCTAGTTGCTATGTAATCTGTTAGCAACCCTTGCTTGTATTCCATTCTACCTCCTTTCACTATAGTTGAGTCCTATTAGCCCCTTCTTTGGCCAGTGCATCTGCCATATAGTTAGCTGATACTAAGTGAAAGGTAGCTTCCACTTCTCTAGCTTGGTGTGTTGCGGTGGTCTTGGACAGTTGTTCATCAGCCACTATAAATTCAGGATAGAGTCTAAAACCCTAACCTTCCATCTCTAAACCCAACAATTACTAATGCAGGAGCTGAGGAGTCAAAATTTGGATTTTTCTGAAAATTTATGTATTTCTGTGGGGAAAATCTATGATACCATACAGACATGGTACCGAACGAGCTTTGACCAATCAAAGCAACCCTGTGAATTGTGTTTAACAACACCTGATTGGTCACCTCTTTTATGATACCAGTTGATCAGCTGTAAGCTTTTCCAATATCATGTCTTTCTGGCATCATAGTCGAACCCATTTCTGTAATTTTGGACACTAGGGGCATTTTCATTATTTTACAATTTTTCTGTAGGGGTCCTATGATAGGGTTTGATTTGTCTAGTCTTTGGAGACATCCTATATGCTTTAAGCTTTGGAGTCATTGGGTTAAAAAAAGTTTTGAGTCATTGAATAAGTAGGGTTGGGGCTAGTTGTCTTTTTTTTTTTTTTAATTGAAAATAATGGCAATTCAGTTAGAGTCCTAGTAGGATTCTCATGAGTCTAACAGATTGACTCTTAGCCTCCTAGAATTTTTATGATTCTAGAGTCTTTAAATGTGTATAGATGTACACAAAGATCAATGATGTTTATTCAGTTTCTTGAGCTTATGCCAATTATGGGCAGTCAAGAAACAACAATGTCCTGAAAATGAATGTGGCAGAAATGCAAATGCTAAGATGGATAAGTGGAAAAACTAGAAAGGATGGGATTAGGAATGAAGTTCTCCATAGGAACCTAGGAGTAGCTCTAATAGGTGATAAAATGAGAGAGACTGAGAGAGTAGACTAAGATGGTTTGGGCAACCACCAACTGCACCAGTTAGGAGCAGTGATTTGTTACACATGGAAGGGGCTAAAAGAGCTCGGGTTAGACCAAAATGGACATGGGTAGTAGTGAGAAATGATTTAAGCATTAATAATTTAACTGTGGATATGGATTTAAATAGAACGGATTGGCAAAACAAGATTCTTGTAGCCGACCCCATAGATAAGGCATGGATGATGATGATGATTCCCATACCCTAGAGTGATTCTAGGTTATCCCGTTATGATTCCAGGTATTCTCTTTCTTTCTAAGTCTTCTCTCTCTATTTTCTTTTATTCCTTCAAGAAGCTATTACAACCATCAACAGCCATAAATTTCTTATCAAGGAAGATCGTTCATCATTCTCAAAGGACTGGAATTTGAGTTAGTCCTACATCAATTACATTTAAATTCCCTTCTGCCAGCAATTCATGATGATTGTCTTTTTAAGTCTCAGCTCTTTGAATGCAGCAAACAGTTTGGCTTCAGCCAAGTTCCCTTCTCCTATGGGTCCAAATTCTGCTGTATGGACATGGTAGGCATGTTGAAGTGTTTGGCTTCAACTTTCATGTTGAGGCATGTTTTTGTTGGGATTGTTCTCTGTTTTGAGAGCGAGGTTTTAGGTTCAAAATCTATATATACTCTTGAGTTGCAGACCACTTGGAAACGCAATTTTAAGTGCTGCTTATTTCCTACTCAGTTGAGATGGTTCTCTATTGTGATGTGAGGTCTTAGGTTCACTGTCTTGATTTGCTTTTTAATTAAGGTTTTGTTTGTTTGCGGTGCAAATATGAACTGGATGCAAAATTTTCACCTGGTTCAGTTTTTCATCCATTTGTTTGTGGCTATGATTTACAGTCTAACCTGATTCAGAATTTTCCTTTTTTTGGTCTCATTTGCACCCATTGGCAGTGCAAATTTTGCATTTGAAAAACTGACCACTTACTCCTTGCTTATATGAAGTGGAGGCCACATAAATTTGCTTCCTACCTAACTTCTCCCAAACAAGTAACCTTCTTCCCACATCCATTCATTACATACAAATTGGGTTCACGCCATTTTACTTCCTAATTTACTTGCAAACAAACAAAGTGTGGTCAAATCTGAAACAAAAGTAAACCAGGATTTACACTCAGCTCATTTGCACTCCTATGTGTTTATAATTTGCACTGCAGATAAACAGAGCCTGAAGATCACTAAACGAGCAATATCAGGTGGCGACCTGCACTATTACCAGCTTACATTGCTACAGGCGACAAATTAGCTCTTTTTTCCAACTGATTGATGCATCTGTACACTTGAGAAAGTTTTAGAAAATTAAGACTCATGAATTATTGTTCTTTTTTGTCCATCTAATTAAATGTTGATTTACTCAAGGTTCACAATTTCGATTTCGATACAGGCGTATTGTATCATATTGGCATTCAGCAGGTCTAAGATACACCATTTTTTCAGGAAAAAAAAACAATGTTTTTAAATGTTACATAATGTTAAAACCGTCCTGGGAAATTTTGAGAGTAAAAAATCATTTTTCTTTCTATCAAAACACCCGTATTGGGTGCATGGATACTTTGGAGTTTGAACCATGGATTTACTTGTTGTCATGCAGTATACCTATATATATATTTTTTTTGTTTTGTAACTTTTTTTTTTCTGTGGTAAGAATCATGTATACTTGATTATATTTCTAATGTTGCATACTTTCACCAGCTTTGGAGTTTGGAATGTTTCATCAATCTCATTAAGCATTCCCTTGGTTGTACACAATCATTCATGTTATACATGCTCTTCCGGTGCACATAGGAACTTGGTTTGTATCTGGTTTGTGATTGCGATCTTTCATGATCAAATTTTCTTCAATTGTTTTTTCCCTAGAAAAAAGAATTTGGCATCTCTTTGTATGGATGCAAATAGTTCTGTTGCAGCTCTTTCTGCTTTATTGGTGGCTTCTTATTTTCAATTTTGAAGTAGTTCTGCTTGAAGACGAGAATTATTAGTATCTGATGTTGCTGTTGTAAACATTTTCTTCTGAATCATTGCTCTTTTTTGATGGTTACATTCAGCTTGTAAAGGATTATCAAGCATGGGCTTCTGGTGATACATCTAGGCAGCCTCTTGGAACTGGAGAGATTTGAGTTGAATGAGAGGCCAGTCTGGCTTCTACAACTGTGATGTTGAGAATTCGAGATTGATGTTCTACTCTAGCCGAGCCTTTTTCATGTTATGTTTATATGTTCTCCTTGTTTACATAGTCTATTACAGATGGAACGGGTCCAATCCAATCCAATCCAATCCCATGAATAATTTGCACAATTCTGGACTGGCCCAATTCAATGACTTGACCGTCCAATCTGTTCAAATTGATTTTAATTTATATTAGGTCTACCTCAAACCTGGTCCATCGACACCCTTAGTTAAGAGGGCTAAGAGATAAATATAAACAATGCAGTCGCTAGATATTTCACGATGACAAATTTCGCAAATGGATTAACGTTAAATTAGGTTATCAAGATCCAAATTTTAGCCATCAATCTCTTGTTCAATATAATCAGTCATGACTGTCAATTTTCACCTTTTACTTGGGCAAGAAAATATATGAGAATAGGTCATAATGTGCTAATAAAGCTTTATTTTATTTTTTTTTTTGTGCTGTTGAATTCTTGAATGAGATCTGGGATCTATGGGTAATGGCACAGGCTTAAAGAACATTGTTGGAGGCAGGGTTTTAAATATTGATATGTATCGGGCAGTGTCGGTACTTTTTTTTTTTCAAATCCGGTTCAGGGGTTGGTTTAGGATTCATCCACCTCCTGAACTGGCCAAAACCCCGATACACCCTCTATAGGGGCGTATCGGGGTGCTTCTGACACAATACATATTGGCTGATATGTATTGTGTATTGATACTTTGAACCTTAGTTGGAGGTCGACTGTTTTTACATGCCCATTCATTTAGGCTGTGTTTGGTTCTACATGCCCGTATCTTTTCTTTTAAACCAAATACAGTTTTAATGTCCTCTAAAACTGTGCTCGAGGTACTTCCTGCCTTCCTGGTCCTTTTGGCCAATATTTTGAGTTTTGATTGCTTGAGCTGTATGGCATCCTACAACCAATCTCAAGAAAAGGTGGTATATTGATATGCCAATGCAGGTTGAAAGAGGGGAGGATGAAAGCCTGAAGATATAGGATATCTCCACTCCATCGCTTGTTTAATGCACCTACTCATTTTTTGTTAGACTTCGGACCTATAATTCATCTCTAAGGAAAGCTCTCCGTAATGACATTGCAATGGTATGTTGGTGTCTATGGATACCCCTAATAACAAAGTGAGGATGAAAATGCAAAATTTAAGAAAGAATAATTCTATTGTAAGAAATCAAAGAAATTTAAGAGAATAATTTAATAAAAAAGTAGAAAGCCAATAACAACAAGCAAAGTTAGAGATATAAAAGAAAAAGGAGAAAATTAGACTTATCTATTGAGGCGTGTCTAGGTATGTTTTTAAGCAAAATTTTGCTTCTTCTCAATCAAGTTGGGTGTATACAAGCATGTAGGTGTCATGCTCCATGATTCAACAACCTTATGGGTCGGGGAATATTCCTATTTTTTCATGTTTGTTTTGGGAGAGATGCTGCGATGGGATGAGTATATCATTCTCAAAATATGGGATGTGGGGTTGCACCAAGGAATAGGTGAGACCCCACTGAGAAATGAAAGTCGTGCGATGGTAGTGAGGAAATTTAATCGAGGGGTGGAATGTTTTCATCTCTCACCTCTGCAGTGGTTCAAACTCCAATCACTTGTATCCTACATCTCCGACGAAGGTAACGTTTTCGGCGGTTATTGTCTTCGTCTTCTCCAGCGAAGACAACAAAGATAGGTTATTGTCTTCATCTTCTCCAACGAAGGTAATATTTTTGGCGGTTATTGTCTTCGTCTTCTCCAGCGAAGACAGCAAGGACAGGAAGGACAAGTTATGTCTTCGTTTTCGGCGGTTATTGGCTTCAAATCTCAGACAACAAGGACATGTTATTGTCTTCTTCTTCTCCGACGAAGGTAACGTTCTGGTGGTTTAGTTTCTCAGTGACATGTGTTTCTCCGGCGAAGGTAAGGACAGGCTATTGTCTTCGTCTTTATATCTTCATCCCTTTGTCTCATCAACCAAACGCTAGAAGCATATTCTATAGGATAGTAGGTCTCAACAAACAAATACATGACAAAAAAATGAGAAAATAAATTCTTCCTTTCTCGTCTCATCCCACTATTTCTCGGAAACCAAATGAACCATTAGTGGTTCTCAGTAATTGTGAACTCGGAAATACTGGTTACGTGAATTCCAACAAATTTTTAACTCAGTTGGTGCAATCCAATTTGATTGATTCAATGCGTGAGAATGTGATAATTACCAAAAACAAGTGTAAAAAGGAATAGGAAAAAAGGATATTATTTCTTGTGTGTGTTGACTGATAGACCTAATGGCGAGATCGGATTTGTTACCCACTAGTTGTTCCCATAGACATAACAGTTGCGCACCTTTTTCATTTATAGGGAGATGTTCCCAATGCATGATAGTGGAGTTTTGCGGGTATAGATGTAGGAATAACAAATGGATAGCAAATCTAGAGTGCCTAATGGCACCTTATTAGTAGGGATGACAATTTCCCCGTCCTTGACGGGGACCCGAGTTCCCTGACCTGATGGGGTCAGGGATGGGGATGGGGATTAATAGGAATCCCCAAATATCTTCGTGAAGTTTTTATAAATCTACCGATAACACAAAAAAATTGTGATTTTGAATGTAGGAAATATACATCAACATAAATTTAAACATTCAAGAAAAAAAAAAAGAAATCACAAGATATTATAAAAAATTTGAAAAATTTACATATTTTTTCAAAATTTGAAAAATGTTAAAAAAATTAACGATTCACACTTGTTTTTTTGCAAACTTTTGCAAATCTAGCACTTTGGGAATGAAGTTTGGAGTTTTAGAGTCATTTGGGGGTGAAAGAAAGCTTATTTCTGAGAAAAGAAGCTTGCTTTCCCATTTAAATTTTTTAATTTTTGGTCGTATCTTTTTCGTTGATATGCTACTGATACACCCTAATACACTCCCGGTACACATGAAAAAAAGATGAAATATTCGATTTCCATTCGTATCCCTTATCTATTTTTAATGATGCAACACAATCACCCCATATCGAGCGTATCGTATCGAAGTTTTAAACCTTAGTGACACCTAATGGTGCCTATTTGTCAATAAATGGTTTATCAACCACCTTTCTCGGTTTTGATGCCAAATCAAATACAAACGTTTATTTAATAAATACCCACAGAACTGAAGGCATGCATATTAAGTGTGTATTTGGAATCGTGGGTGTTTATTGAATAAACACTACCACATATGCACCATTTCAACATTTTCCCCATTATGTGAATCGTACACATAGGGACTTGGCAAAAGTAGAATTTGGTTTATGTGCACGCCTATTGTTGGGGGAAGTTTCATTTTAGCAGGCTTTACTGATGTGGCGCTTAAATGTCATCAAATGAGTTTATCATTGCTTTTCTCGATTTTTCGAACAAATGCTTTTCTCGATTTTTCAAACAAATCAAAACGTCCACACAAACGCCAATAGAACCACGCACATAACTAGTTGTTGGCACGTGTTAACTAATTTCGACCTTTAGGTAAACCAAATTGTTTTTTAAATTTTATTTTCCAGTGAAATAGATGAAAAGCTCGGCAAGCGGATCCGTAACGAGTCCGGGTCTGCTTAGATTGTTCCAACACGATCTGTGTCCACACATCGCACGAATAATGGGTCCCATACTCCCATAATTCCAGTCTTAAGGTGAGATGTGCGGACACAAACTATATTGGAAGCGGGTTGGGACAGTTGTTTTCGCAGATCAGATTTATTTATGTACTACAAATCTACAATAGATAGCCTAAACCAATAAATAAATAAATAAGGGTAAATTACAAAGACCCCCCTATACTATGGGGTCTGTGGAAAACACCCCCTGTACTTTATTTTGCGACAATGACCCCCTGTACTATGACCGTGAGACAAAAACCCCCTCGTTAAGATAGATGACAAAATGCGTTAAATTATCAAAATACCCCACTAAACTTTTTCTATTTTCTTTTTTTGCCATTTTTCCTTTCTTCTCTTCTTTTCCCCTCCCTCACCGTCCTCTCTCATTCTTTCCTTATATGGGTGATCCTCCAACCCTCCAAACCCTAGTTCACACTACAAGACACTACAATGTACCAGTTTAACATCTTTGACAAGAACTTCCTCACTTAAAACTGCACATATGAGCCTCCCTACAGAAACTATATCCGTGTGCCAGAGAAAATGGCGATGGAATCAATTGGCATCCAAGAGGATTTTCTTGAGGGATTCCTTTACATACCCAAGAATCCGCATGAAAGCAGTCATGGCTTCCGTTGGGGAGGATAGATGTAGGGGCGATTTGTTAGAAATGTTTAGGTTGAGCTTGTCATTGATGCTCTTCACAATGTCCGACAAGCATCTCGCGAGACTAGAAGCTTGGATTTGCACCAATCTCTAGGCCAAAATAGGGATGCCCACGATGGATTTGTCGATTTGTGAGAGAAAGGGATCCGTTTGAAACAGTCTCGCCTCCTCAACCCTAGCCTCCTCGTAGGACTTGTCCTTGATGCGATTCCTCACATATACGTAGCCAAGCCCAATGTTCACATCGTCGGAAGTGAAGTTCTCGAGCAGATCTTCAGGAGATTTATCACATTTGGTAACCACCGCCAGCGTTCTCTCGTCGGTGGTATCAACACACTGAGACATTCTAATCGATTCGTAGGTCAGGAAATCAACAATAGCCAATAAGACGTTCAAAATGATGCACTCCTTGGGCATTATGTACTCCATTATGATGTTGGAAATCTACTCATAGATGTCCTGGGGTTGGCCAAGAACAGGGACCCTAGTTATTTGGGGCAAATCGACCATGGTGAGGTTAGGGACGCCCTTCTTTTTCACAATGGGAAATGCCATTGTTGTTGCCGACGATCTCGTTGGTGGCATCTACAATGGCTTCTGTGACATGGGGTTTCATCGGTGTCGACCTTCTGGTCATGGTACTCCAAGTAGAGTTATGGGTTGGTTGCAGAGTGGTGCTACAAGTACATTACGAGAGGAACCCGAGTGCATATGCCTATGTTTCGAGGGAGGTTGATGTCGGCACTGAACTCGATAAGACTAGACTTGCTAGAGGAATGGTCTCCGACGATGACAATGGTGGGGAGTTCAATGCCTTCCTTCATCACCTTGAGGTGGCACAACTGGTCGATAGTGTCAAGGAGGGGCCGAATCTGGTCACTGTATGTGGAGTAGAGAGGGACGACATCGTGGGTAAGCTCATCGTCTTCTTCCTTGAGACCAAACCTAGCCATTTTCTCTTGGATGCAAGTAGTTTTGCAGTTTATAGAAAGTATATCCGTGTGCCGTTTTGATCAAAATCAAGATTAATGGAAAGCTCAAGTGGAAGGTGGGTACTTGGATCTTCGACTTATATCACCTTTGATAGTTGGAACACAGGGATTCCCGTTAAAACGGTCTTCAAGTACCAGCTGGTACAATCCTGCAACGTCGATGTCTAAACTCTCAACTTTGAAGTCTGAAGCAAGCAATTGTCGTGGCTGTTGTCAGGATTAAATGGGTTCAATTCCCATTTAGACGTTGGGTATTATAACAGTCTTTTTGGACGGAAGGTTAACGGAAGGGGATCTTTATCTCACGGTTATAGTACGGTGGTCTTTTGTCACAAACCCATGGTAGAGGGGGGTGTTTGTAATTTACCCAATAAATAAATAAATAATTGTTAGACAATACTGCCAACTGGGCTTGGCTGCGCTGTCACATTGGCCCCAATTCTCCTTTTTCGTTTTTCCTCTTCGCTCCTCCCCCCTCTCTCTCTCTCTCTTGCTAGCTTCGCTCTTCATTTCTTGCAGTTTTCTTCTTCTTCGATCCATGGCTTCGTCAAGTTCTGGAAGCACTGTTCCTGCGCCAGGTATATTCAATTCAAATTTTGCTTCAATTCGTGGATTCTTTGTCTTTTGTGTAATGTTGTTCGCATCACGTCTTCAATTTATCAAATACATAGAGAAAAGCTCATATTTTGTTCTCCTCTTTCTGTTCACAGAGGCCGTGCAGGTGCTTGTTTCTTCGCTTGCAGATGAAGCTCCTATGGTCAGGGAAGCCTCCACTGCCGCTCTCAAGGATATCGCTGCTCTGTAATTAGCCGCCCCAACCATTTCCCTCATTTGTCTCTTTCTGTTTTGTTTCTCCCTTGATAATTCGGAGGAGTTTTCAATTGCAGGAACCCATTGTTGGTTCTTGACTGTTGCTCCACTGTTTCTCGAGGAGGGCGCCGGGTAATATTTACTTGTGGCTCTTTTGAGCTCTAACTTTCACAGTCAGAACTACATATTTTTTTGGAAATTTTCTTTTTAAATAAGTAGACGTGGATTGATATTTGTGAGAGTTGCAGCGTTTCGGGAACATGGCTGGAGTTTTCCAAGTGATGGCATTTGCCGTACGAGCTTTGGACAAGAAAGATGTTGATCCTCCATTCGTGGCAAAACTCGCTAAGATCGCCACTGCGGAGATGATCTCGTCAAAGGTACGTTATCATAGGCATTTTTTTTATAATCTTGTATTTCTGTGGTTATTGCATGGACTGAAAACATCCAATATTCGGAAGAAGAGTTCCGTATGTGCAATGAATCTCAATTTATAGTACTTTTTAGTCAGGCTGTCAGGGGAGAAGCGGTTCGGTCCCTAGTCAAGTCTAATGATTGTTAGTCAAGGATACTTGGAAATTACATTAAGTTCTTTTCACATAAGATGTATCTTTATTGTGGTAGTAGATAAAATGTGGAAGGAGGTGATTTTCACATGCTTGATGTTTGCCCAGTCGGGCTTAGTTTGTAGAACATTCAATCTGATAAACAGAGATATTAGCAAGATTTTTTATTTTGCATACTTTCCAAGGGTTCTAGGAGGCAGGCTTTAAGGATGCATCAGGGACAGCTAATCCTACTTTTACTTATAACTTATTGACTCTACATAAACAGAGGTTTTAGCATTTGAATTTGATCCAGCCACAGCCTATTACTTCCTACTCTTCCATGATTTCAGATTACCTCCAATTAGAGTGCATAAACCAGATATAGATTGCTTATCATCTAACAATCAAACCCAATCTACATTAGTAAAGGCTTCCATCCTCATGTAGTCATGCTTAGCAAACAAAAGTTCTTTACCTGGATGCTTTTTAAGGTATGCTAGGATCCTCTCTAGAGCAGCCAAATGAGAACTCTTGGGTGCATGCCTATGCTGATTACTGACTTACTACACTCACTAGTCATACATAGATTTAGCAATCAACCAACAAGTCTATGATAACCACCAATATCAGTCAAAAGAGCTAGTAGTAACTATGGGGACAGATAGTATTAATTATCTTCTCTAAAAGGTTTATTCTTTGTACACATTTTTGTTTATATTTAATAAATTGGTGGTTACTTATCAGAAATTTAGATACAAATAGATTAAAGAAGGAGATGGGAACTCCAAGTTCTTCCACTCAGTAGCAAATGGCAAAAGAAGAAAGAACCTTATCTCTAAATTGGTGGTTTAGTTTTTGATGCTAATGCCTACCCTATTGGTTCTTCAGATATCTCAGGTCCCATCCATGGCTTTGATGTGCCTCTAGTAGTGCCTGTAGAAGTAGAGACTGTGAAAGACTTAGAAGGAGGAGTACAAGAAAGAGAAATTTTCTGAGGTGGGGAAGGAGGGATGGATGCTTCTGGGCTTAGGGGGGAAAATTGAAGGATACTAAAGGAGTTGCTGTTCACAGAAATGAGAAGGGGAAGGAAGTAATAGAAGGGGCTGGGAAGAGTATAAGAAATGGAGAAAACATAGATTGCAAAGGGCCTGGTGATGGAACTGGCTGACAAGATGGGATTGAAAGTGGAAAAAACTAAGGAAGTGAGACCTCAAAATAAAGAAAATAAAGCAAAGGGGGGTAAGAGGAGGAAAGCTAAATGAGGTTGAAAGACTCATTAATAATGTGGAGGGGGATAAGAGTTCAACACTAGTGGAGGAAGAAGGAAAGCAGGCCTATAGGATAGGTGAGGGTTGGTTGCAATCTTGTAGTGGTCATGAAGATTATTAGTTGGAATGTAAGGGGGTTAGGGAGTGCCACAAAAGGAAGAGCAATTAAAAAGGTGTTAAGGAAGGAGAGGCCGGATTTTGTCTTGATCCATGAATCCAAAATTCAGGAAGTAGATAGGAAGTGGATTAGAAGTCTTTGGGCAAAGGGGAACATTAGTTGGAGTTTTGCTCTACCATGGGGTGCTTTAGGGGGGCATAATCACAATTTGGAAAGAAGAGGTAGTTCAGTGCTTGGAAGAGTTGGTGGGCAATTTTTCAGTATCTATTAAATTAAAGAATTTACAGGATGGATTTGAATGGGTCCTCACGGATGTATATGGGCTAGACTCCTATAGAGAAAGGAATAAGATGTGGGAGGAGTTAGGCGACATTAGGGGACTTTGGGAAGGGCCTTGGTGTTTAGGAGGAGATTTCATTGTTGTCAGATACGTGGGTGAGTCAAATGGAGGTAGAGAATGGATTACTTCAAGCATGAGAAAATTCAATACCTTTATTGATGCCCTTGAACTGAAAGGTATTCCACTGGGGCAATCTTGCTATACCTGGTCAAACCATCAAGCCAATCCCATTTGCTCTAAGCTTGATAGATTTCCAGTGTCTCTTGATTGGGAAGTGCATTGGTTAGGTTTATTTGGGAAAAGCCTATCCAAAATCACCTCAGACCATTGGCCCATTTGCTTGTTTCAGAGGACTAATGATGGTGGACCAATACCTTTTAGATTTGAAAATATGTGGCTCATTCACTCGGAATTTAAGGAAAGGGTCAAGACTTGGGTGGGATAGTGTGATAGAGTCATCTTTGTGGAAAGGCCAAAAATTCCTTAAGAAATTACAACTAAAAAAGGGAATTAGATAATGGAATAAGGAGAAGTTTGGAAACCCGGAGGAAAGAAAAGCTGACTTGATATTTCAAATTGAGGAAATTGACAAGAAAGAAGTAGAGGGCTCTTTAGATGTTGGTGACGAGGATTTGAGATAGTTCTTGAAGGAGTTAGGGGAGACATTGCTAAGAGAGGAAATAAGTTGGAAGCAAAAGTCCAAAGAGAGGTGGATTAAGGAAGGGGTTGGTAATACAAGATTCTTCCATGCCATTGCAAATGGAAGGAGGAGAAAGTGCTTTATCTCTTCTCTATTGGTGGGGGAGTGTGAAGTTACAGAAAAAAGAGAGATTGCTAAGGCATTCTCGGAGCTTTAGGTCAATTTATAGAAGACCCCTAAATGAAAGATGGGTAATTGAAGGCATTGATTGGGAGACTTTGGATGAGACTCAAGTGCAATTTTTGGAAAGGCGGTTCGAGGAGGAGGTTAAGGAAGCAATGTTTTCTGTGAATAGATCAAAAACTTTGGGGCCTAACGGCTTTACAATGGCATTTTATCAAGATTGTTGGGAGCTAGTCGTAGTGGTGTAAATGGATCTAAGGTTGCTTATAGTCTAGTCATTACTTTGTTGTTGTTAATGAGATGGTGTTTGAATTTTTTGAGGGCTTTCTTGGGCTTAGACAAGGTGACCCTCCCTCTCCCTTTCTATTCACTTAGTAGAAATCTGCTGAATTAAAAAATATGAAAGAAAGTAGTTTCTTGAAGAGAGAAGGAAGAGAGAAGGAGAAGAAGAGAAGTTGAAAGAAAAGCAAGCAATGTTCTAGCCACCCCCTTCACTTATTATTTATACTAAAATAATAGAACAATACAAAGACAACTATGCCCTTATAGGGCGGCAAAACATAAAACAACATATATAACACTCAAAAAACATAATAAAAATTGGACTCACATAACTACTGTGGTCCCCACCTCCTATCTAACAACTAAC